CTACTTTAAACTCACTCATAAGGCAAATACTACTTAATAATAACTTATAATATAGATAAAGTACTCACCCAATAATAAATATGTATAACACTTATTTCTCGAAAGTCCAATGTTAATAATAGGTTTGTATAGTAACCAATAGTCAGTACTAATTTGTACTGGAACCTGCAAATTTTTACTGGAAAAGCGTATGATAACCCAAAAAATTTGCAAGAGAGCACTGAATCGAGAGCGTAACAACACGGGAGAGCTGCAAATTCTTGCTAGTGAAATTTTTACTAGCAGAAATTAGCTAGCTGAAGAAGAAGAAGAATAAATGTCAAAAGCCGCCATTTGTTGAATTGGTTTAGCACAAACAAAAGTAAAAGGAGTTTACATCAAAATATTGTGACTGTGTAAGTGCTTGTGTGTAAAGCAGAGTTTAAGACTGATTTATAAATAGTAAAATGTTTACAGCAGAATGTCAAAACAGTGCAACGACTGTTCACTTGCAAGTTTTTGCTAGTTTTGTGTTCATTAACTTTTTCTGCTAGTTTTCTCTTCTTCTCAATTTTACGCTCTATTTTGCTTTTACGCTCTCGCTGCAATGTTTTACTGGAGAAGTTACTATACAAACCTAATATGTAAGGTCGGTGTTATGCAGACAAACTTTTGTTTGCCAAATTAAATGGCGGCTGCTTAGTTTGCTCGGAGGTGGTTATGTCGAGTTTGGCACAGGGTTGCACGTTCATTATGGTTTTCTTGGCTATTGCCAACACGAAATGAGAATTTCAGATGTACATACGCGCAAAATTTAAAATTTTTGTATATGACAACACCGAATTTGCTGCAGTTTGACCAAACAAAATTAGTTTGCTGTGAGAGTCGCCAAACTCGCTCTCTCCGAGTTTGCTGCAACAACAATTGCACGCAGTTTGCCAAACAAAATTTCTGCATAACACCGACCTAAAAAGATAAAGATAGTGATGTTAAAAGACATCGATGTATCGAGCAATAGCGATGGTCGTGGCTTCAAGCATCGATGTTCGTCGATGTTTTTATGAATCCGATTTCAAATCAAAACATCGATGTTTACTAATTTTTACTAATATTTAACCACTTCATTTTGTGTGCCTTAAAGGGGGTACTAAAATAAATAAAATATTTCAAGTTTAAATTTCACAGATATTATTTCCCAACAGGAAATGCGTATGTAAAAGTTATTTAGCTAGTTTTTAATAGAAAATTTTGGCTCGAAAACGCAAAATGTCAAGAGAACTGAAACGTTCTACAAAAGGAGGCATGCATTCAAAGAGAATTCAGGGAACATTACACGAGGATCTCTTCTTAATAGCATGCATGATAACTGTAATTTCCGTCAGTCTACCTTAATTTTCCTGTTCGTTACTCAATTATGAAGGGATGGAATTATCAAGGCCGGTCCACATAGAACTTTCGCGTTGGCTTTGGCATTGGCGTTGGTTTGACAGAACGCACGTTAAAAGTGTGCTTGTTACAATGAACGCTTGGCAGCGAATGCTTGGGCCACTAAATTAACATACTAACGACAGATAAATTAATATTTCATATCAATAATTGCATTAAAAACAATGGCCCGTAGTCATAGTCAAAATAAAGTCGACTTTAAAGTTAGTTGCAGCTTTTTTGACAGATATCCCATTGAAAATTATGTCAAAAAGCTGCAACTAACTTTAAAGTCGACTTTATTTTGACTATGACTACGGGCCAATATTTCTTGGCCGCACTTGGGTAAAAAGGAAAAGTATTTCACATAATTTTATTTATTTGCAACAGCTGACGAGCTTTGTGTCGGTGCACAGTGTCGCGACTTCATATACATAAGCGTTGGCCAAAAATAGAAGGAGTTATAGTAGGTAAATGAAAATTGGTACAGATAGTTAACGTAAGTAGACTAAGAAAAAAACTAAGTTTTGAGAAAATCAGCCCAAGGACACGCCCACCTCCCATATATCCTGAAATGAAAAAAACTTATATTTTCCAAAATTGTTGTTGGAATTGAACCAAATTTGGCTCGATTTGTCTCTGATATATAACTGATAACTGTGTTTAATTATATGGAATTATCTCAAAGGACACGCCCACCTCCCATATATCCTGAAGTAAAAAATTCGAATAATTTCATGTAATTAGCTTAAACATAAACTTTATTTTTAGTTTTAGACAAGCAAAGAATATTTCTTATTTACTATTATCATCGCCAATATCTTCAATGTTATCGCAGAAATCATCCTCAGATATGATGCTTTCATCTTCCACAAAAACAAAATCTTTTATTTCATTTAGATCATATCTTCTTAAAATTTTTTTTTTACTGTTCATCGAAATATCTGGCTCTGACTGCAGAATTAGGTAATGTATTAGATCCCTATTGGAGTCAACTCTACTCGTCTTTCTTGTATGCCTCAGTCTATTATTTCGAATTACTTTGTGACAGGACTCTATGGCCTCCTCCGATAACATTCCAATTGGTATATTTGAATACTTGATGTAATTAATACCGTGAACTAAAACTTTGTGCACAGTAACAGGCATGTAGTACCAGGGATATAGCTTATTATATAAAATAAATGTTTCTTTTAATAGCTTTTCAAAGTTTGTAACATTTATGTGCAGTCCGCTGGAAAATGTTCTTAAAATAACAGAAAAGTTGTTTATTAAAGTTTTATCAACACCTGTTATCGGAGCCGCTTGTTCAATATTTGAAAAGAAGCGTCTGGCCGTGTTTCCATCATTCGATGTGCCATATCCTGTTTTAACCATATCAATACTAAGCCCAATTTCATTCTTGAATTAATCTTGAATCCTCTTTTTGTTTTCCATCACTACCTGCTTATTTTTTTCATCCACTATACGCCAAGACTTAATAGGTAGTTTATATGCAATGTGAATAATGCATTCAAAAAATTTTATCCATGCATGTAAGGTCGATATACCATATTCGTAGCAACTTTCCTTGACTTTTCTTTCAAGAACTAATTCGGTATTCATTTGTGTAGGTTTAGCTCCACACAGAACACAAGTCGCACAACTCTTATGCCCATGTATAGCATTTAACACAGCCCCGTCGATCATAGTTAATTTTAAGCGATACTGAACGTTAATTTTCTTTTTATCATTATTATAGACGTATGCAGTTAAATTTTCTATTTCACGCTGTATGTTGTCTTTTACTTCCATTATAAGTCTAGAATTTTCTTTAGCAAATAATATTTTCAGAGGTCTACATAGCCTTTGAGAAGAGTGTTTGCTGTTTTGCCACACAATTTTTTCATTTTTGCCTTCCACTATACGTAATGGTACGAAAGATGTAACAAACAAAAACACAAAGAGCTTCAGCAGAGGTTGACACAACAAGTTCATCAACACGTCTTCGCTTAGTTCGATGTGATGCTTCTTCGAAAGACACACTTGGCCGACCTCTAACAAAGCTTGAACTTGGTTCCTAAAAAAATAACAGACCTATTTTATCTTTGATTGACGCCAAGAACTGATTTACTTACAACACAAATAGAATCCCCATAGAATATTTCACTATCCAGCCAGTTATTACAGTGTTTTTCAAATAAGTATTTTTTCCGTCCATACTTTTCCCAATTAGTGCTAAATTTCAAAATCGTAAACTTGATTTTTGTTTCCTCTGTGCAGTGTAATGATCTACGCAAATGATTTTCCACAAATTTGTTTATTTCATAAACGATAAGGCTCTTTTTACATTGCTTCATTTCTAACCATTTGTTGAAAATATCGCGTATCTTCAATGGGGTAGACACTGAAAAATATTCATAAAAAATTAAATCGCATACCATCGCAGTTGAGATTTATATATATTTAAATACACACAAANTAAGGCTCTTTTTACATTGCTTCATTTCTAACCATTTGTTGAAAATATCGCGTATCTTCAATGGGGTAGACACTGAAAAATATTCATAAAAAATAAAATCGCATACCATCGCAGTTGAGATTTATATATATTTAAATACACACTTTTTCGCACTAAATATCAAAATATTGGAGAAGTGTTTTGATGTGTTTTTTTTATTGTCTTCTAAACAAGCGGTTCGCTTTCAACAGGTCACTTTGATTTAGACATATCTTTAAGCTAACTGTTCTTTCCATATGATCAATATTTGTCAACAAAACGAGCGTGCCATATTAATTGGCACTTAAATTTGACAATCTATTACAATTTTTACCGACAGTTACATTAAGTATTTGAAATAACAGCGTTTGAAAACTATGTAAAATTCCAGATTTCAATGATGATACTACATGGTTAACAACTATCACAATTGAACTACTATAAAAAAAAATACTAGTTCACATATCCAGGAAAAATTTTAGATTTCATCTAATTTAAGTGTTTATTTGTTAATAAAGAAAAAAACTTTTGGAAATTTGAATGTTCACATATATCATTTTTGGCCACTGCCGTGACACTGTGCGGCGTGAGCGTTGTCGAATTTTGGCTATGTGGACAGCTGCATTTGAATTCATATATTCGAAGTCAGCTGTTGAAGCGACGCCAACGCCAACGCAACGCCAAAGTTCTATGTGCACGGGCTTTCAGGGTCCCAAAATGTAAATCAGCAATGCTGGCACTGCTTAAAGAAACGGGCAAAAAATCGAGTTTTCTCACTCTCTTCATTTTGCGTGATCTTGTGTCGTTCGTTCATGCATATGTATTGAATCATGCATATGCAGTGGTAGGAAAACAAATAGGGACTCAAACTATTTAATCAGAATTAAAAAAAAAAATGGTAGCCCATTAAATTTGTTGATAAACATTTGTTGAAATTTATCGAAATTTTATATTAGAAAAGTGTTTAATAGTTTTTTTTTTTTTTTAAATAAGGTTCTGTGCCAGCATGAAAAATGGTGATTGGAAGATTTTTTTATTCTTAATTTTATTAATAGCCTGGAACAAATAAAAATATTAAAATATTTTAGGTTAGTTTTACGCTATTACGAACTGAACGTGGAAAAGCAGTGCTACTGATGGATATGGGACATTATGCATGCTCATGAACGAAAGACACAAAATCACGCGAGAAGGAAAGAAAGAAAAAGTTATTTTCTAGCTATTGCGATTGCATCGACGCCATCTTTGTTGTAAGAAGTAAACAACGAAGATTTACTGTTGCACATGTGAAAGTAGGGCAGCGGGAACATTGAACTGCACCCACTGTATGCAGTGGTTTTTGTTGGTTGGTAAGTAAGGTAAGTCATTTTGGTTTCTAAATTTAAATAAACTTTTCTATAACCAACTTTTTAGAATTATCATTATCATCATCCGATAGCGAGGATAAATGCACAGATCAAATAAAACTGAACAAAACAAAAATTCGCAATAAGCTGGAAACCACCACCTTAAGTGGTATTCTTTATACAAACGTTGTTCGTTTAACGAAAAGTAAAAACTAATTATTACTGTGTGGCTAACGAACAAACGTTAAAAATGAACGAACAGTAAAGAACAATCCGTGAACTATCGATTGCAATAACGACGAACAAACGATTTATCACATTTAACAAATCAAAATAATGAAATTCTTACACCTGAGGTGCTAAATGCTGGAATTGTAAATTTATTTTAAATGCTTGGCTGTGGAACAAACGTTAAAAATAGACGAAAAATTAAGAACAATCGACGAACCACCGATTGCAATAATAATTAGTTGCGTTCCAGATAACTTCGTGTAAAAACCTGTAAGGCTTTCTGCTCATTGGTCGTCCAATCATAGTTGAGTCATAGTTATCGTCATGAAGCAACGATTACATGACGATTACACTTCTGCACACTTGGTCGTGATATTTCAATTCATTTGGCGTCTAAAAATTCACTTGGAGCAGGTATTTTCTGTTTTTTTTGGTTGATATTTTCGCGAAATATTTACAAAAACCTGCAATTTTTTAAATATAGACTGTGCTGCAACATTTCTAGACGTAATTTTCCAGTAATATCTCTTCTTTTCTTTTCCTGGAATGTGTTTTGTGTATGCACACAGAGACTTAATACAATTTCTTCATATTTTATAGTTAAAACGCTCATATTTATTAAATTTTAATGCAATTATCCACTTTTTAATAATTTCCACAGATTTTATGCAAAAAAATACTAATTTTTATACAATTTTAATGCAAATATTAACTTTTTCACTAATTTTCCCCCATAAAATGTAAACAAACAATGCGTGCACAACGATTAGCAAACAACAGTGCCGTACTTATCCGTTTCTGCATCTTCTACGATTTGCCGATAACTAGCCGATAACGACAAGTGTGCAGATCTCCTTTGAAATGCATTTGCTCGGCTCCATGAACCAACGACTACAGATCACCTAATCAGCCATCGTTGTATTTGTAATCGATTTTCAGAAAAAAGTTTTCGTAGCGTTTTTGACGTTTTTCGGTTTTGTTTACACCGTCTTCTACCTCTTCGTAGCGATTGAATGTGTTTTCTGCAGCGATTTTAATTATAAATTTTGGTTTATTACATATTTATGATATAAAATAAAGTGCTGTGTGATCGGAACAAGTTTGTGCGTATGTTTGGTTTGCCAAAAGGCGTAAATTTGCGTGAAAAGTGGGTGCACGTTTGTGGCCAGAACGTTGGCATTGAAAAATCGACCCGTGGTAATGATATGCGATTGTAAAACACTTTCAATCATGAAAACCATATTTTATGAACTTTTTTTGCTAATTGTCATCAAGTTTCACTTTGTATATTTTATAATAAATACCAATTTAATCGCACTCAATCACCGCGCCTTTTTCGTTTTCTTTGTTTGTTTTCATTCTTAGGCAGATGTCAAAAACACTCAGAAATATACTTTTTTCTTGCTTCTTTGATTAGGTGATCTTGTATTTTTGGTTCATGGCTCGGCTCAATATTTCAGGGCGAGACGATAACGCAACTATGATTGGACGACAAGTGTGCAGATAGCCTAAAACTGTCAAATAACAAAATTACTCTCTTGAAAGAGAGGAGCAAGAAAGAAAAAATAAAAGTCACCTGGAACGCGAAAAACCACTTTTCCTGTAACTACTTCCTTTTTTTTAATGTTAAGCGCCATGGAGACGATCAAATATTTTTATCAACCGTCTCGCGTTTTGCTTGACAAAAAACAAGTGCACTTGCCTTCTGATCGTCGTGGTGAGTAAGTGCGCGGACAAGAAAAAGAAATTGCTTGTTGAATTTATGCGTTTATTTGACCCCGCGACGACGCCTTGGCCAGAAAGTGGGTAGAGTTCTGTCGGCAGGATAAGCCATACAATTTAGACACCAGCGTAATATGCATGAAGCACTTTACGGACCACTTTTAAACACGACATGTTAAGTTGAAAACGTTGAAATACCACAAATTACATATTAAAATCGGAGGTAAGCAAGCATCGACCACTTTCTGCAGGAAAACATGCGCTGCGACAAGATATTATCACTTTTTCGGCACCTGCAATACAAACACAAAAATTCTAAATAGTTAATTAATAAGACCTATTCTTTTGAACACATTTCAAGAGTGGTTGTGTATTTTTTGTTAACGTAGTGCTTAATTTGCTATATTCAAAGATGGCTTGAGAAATTGTTGAATCGAGAAGAAAACACGTTTTCTCGCTGCAAATTCACAACTGTCAACTCATTGTTCTTCGCCATATTCTTTGTTTACCCGTTGCCACAAATGTCATTCTGCGGGAATGCGCAATCTTGTATTCTATCGTTCTCGACTATCAATACTTATTTGCGTGATTTATTTATTTGCAAATAAAAAATTAACTCAGCGTTTAAACGCAAATTTTACCTTTTTGCAAATTGTTATTTGCAAATAATACGTGCGTATAAACGTAGTATCAGAAAAATTTGTTTTAGGTGCTAGATAGAGGAACTACGTAAAGTGAACATTTAAAAATCAATTATTACTGTATGGATAACGAACAAACGATAAAAATGGACGGACAGTAAAGAATATCTACGAACTATCGATTGTAATAAAAAAATCTTAATATTTATACCAATGAACAGCTAACGTCGGTTGGGTAGACAAAATTCTTTAAAATATTAAAATGCTATATAAACATCGGAATTCATTTAATTCAATGCGTATTTTGCCAATTTTTGAGTTTATTTTAATAACATTTTGACAGGATATTTCTACGTTGTGACTGGATATTTCTATATATTTTCCAGGCGGTATATGGGATTTCGCTAACTGTGTACGCCCTACTATTTAGTTTTTAATCATATGGGTACTTCTGTGACGCGCACGTTTTTGGTGCAAAGAGAAAAGCGAAAAACGTAAACACCGGGAGTATTGCACGAGGATATTATCAATTTAATTCACATATTTAAAAATTGTTAATGCCACAATTATATCATGTCTGGTTTGTGTGAGAAGAGGTAATACAGCAGAAACATTTATAAATCTCCAACTAATCTTTATTTCCACTTTTACTTCATCGCCCAGTTATGCTGTTGATGCCAAGTTCAACAATTTCTATAATGGTGGTGATGTCGCTTGGTCCAATGATGGCCAAATTTTTTATTGTTCGAATCATACCGAAGTATGTGCAGTGAATGTCTCCACGGGCCAACTTGTGCGTTCATACGGCACTAATGTTGAAGCAGGAGAAACTGGCTTATCGGCAGACAGAGCACCACGATCGGATGATGAACAATTAGAAGACGAAATTCCTTGTTTTGCGCTTGCACCGGATAACACTTTACTTGTAACAGCTCACCGCAGTGGATTACTGCGTCTATGGTCTATCGATACTGGTAAAGTCGTGAAATTATGGAAATCTCAGCACCGAGGACCGATAGTTAAAATTCATTTCAGCAATTGTGGTAAGATCATTTGCTCTAGTGGTGCTGATTCTTCTTTACGCATATGGGATTATGTACATAGCACGTGTGTTTGCGCTTTGCGTGAATTTTCCGGCCCAGCACTAGTTTTAGCATTCCATCCAGATCCTACGCGCACGGAAGTGTATGCAGCAGGCGCAGATAATGCAATATATTGTTGGAACTATGCAGAGAAGCGACTTTTGCGACAAATGCGTGGACACCTTTCCCAGGTCACAGCTATCACATTTATAGGCGGTGGAAATGATGGTGGTTATGATTTTGTAGCTTCGGTAAGTCGAGACAAAGTCTTAATTGTATGGCGGTTAGCCGATGCATCCCAGCACAAAGTTATACCGATGTATGAAGAACTTGAAGGCGTAGTTTGTTTGAATGAAAATCTTGTCAACAAAGGGGCATTTGATGTGGTCGTAGCTTGTGCATCCGGAGCCTTAAAGTTGGTTGATTGTAAAACAGCTAAATTAATCACTTTGAGTGAGGACGCAAGCCAAGAGCTTCGACAACTACTATATTGTAAACACACTAAGCAATTGGCTGTGGTTACGGTGGAACAAAATATTTTGATATATAAAGCAACTGCTGAAAGTGTGGAGACCAAAACACTGGAATGTACAAAGCAATTGATCGGGTTTAATGATGAAATTCTTGATATTTGCTTTCTGGGCGAGAATGACCGCTTCTTAGCTGTAGCTTCAAATAGTAAAAATATTAAGATATATGACACGGAAGCGAATATGAATTGCAAAATTGTTAGCGGACACAACGACACCGTAATGACACTAGCCGCGGCTGGTGGCACTAATTTGCTACTTTCTGCCGGAAAAGACCTTAGTATTTTATTATGGAGAGTGAATCCAAATAACTTTACACTTTCGTGTATTGCTCGCAACAACAGCAGTCACACTTCCACTATTGGCTGTCTCGTGTTCGGCTGCAACACTGCGGCATTCTTCGCTTCAGTTTCGCAAGACGGCAGTCTAAAAGTATGGCATCTGAAAAAAAACAAAGATGCAGCACACTCCTTCAATTTAAAGTACTCGGCACTGTCGCATGACAAGGAGGTGAATAGTGTCAGCTTTTCGCCCAACAACAAACTTCTGGCTACAGCATCGCAAGACAAAACTGCGAAATTATGGAGTGCTGAGACCAACACCTTAGTTGGCACGCTGCGTGGACATACGCGAGGCGTTTGGTGCGTGCGATTCTCACCGGCTGATCAAGTCGTACTAACTTCATCCAGCGATTGTACACTACGTCTTTGGTCGCTATCCACACTAACTTGTATAAAACGTTTTGAGCAAGAATGCACTATTCTGCGCGCAGAATTCATTGATTACGGCAAATATATAGTGTCTGCCGCAACCGATGGTATACTTAAGTTATGGAGCATTAAAACGAACGAATGCGTACAAACACTGGATGCGCATACCGATCGTATTTGGTCTTTGGCCGTATCAGCGCGCAGCGGTAAATGTTTTTACAGTGGTGGTGCAGACTCCAAATTAATAAAGTGGCAAGATGTTACCACACAGTGCCGGAACGAGGAGATCGATAAACGCGCACAATTGATGCGAGAGGAACAAACGCTACAGTCTTTGTTACAACAACGGCAAAATATGAAAAAAGCCTTCATGTTAGCACTTCGTCTAGGCAAACCAAAAACAACCTACAACATTATAAGTGAATATGTGCGTGGGCGCAACACTGAACCCGTGCATGAGATAATCAATACGTTGAACGGGGAGCAGCGTGTGACGCTTATGGAGCACACGAAGGCGTGGACAACTAATTCGAGACATTGCAAGATAGCCAACCTGGTGTTGCACTATTTGCTGAGTGATTGCATAGCAGCGCCGACACAGCACGGGGTGCCTGGTATGCGTAATGTGGTAGAAGTACTGACGCCATACCTCCAGCGGCATCACAAACGTGTCAATGAGCTGACCAAGGAGCTGATGTTTCTCGAGTATATTGTCGATGGAATTTAGGGTTGTCTGGAAGCTGGTTAATGTGGCGTTATTGTTTGATTGAGTTTTGTAGTACTACTAGTAGCGACATGATGAAAAAATAAAACATTTGCAAATATTGTCCATTTCTTGTTAATTAACCGAGATTGGATTGGTTGTAGAAGTGACATTTTTGATTTCTTGGTGGTGCTTTTTATTTATTTTTTTTTCAGCAAACGGCGGTTAACCGGCCTGCTAATTTACCATGTGAGACAATCAGCTGATTGCTGTTTACACAATGTGCAGTGAAAAAATTATACCGCTTTTAATTTCCAACTCTGGCAACCCTGTGCATCACGTGCAGTGCCCGCGGTTGTGTACATAGATGTGTGTGTGCGCGGGGCTGCAGCGACCTTCTTTGTGCTTCTGTTTGCCTGGTACAATTTTACAGTGAAGTTGAAAAAAGTGGGAAAGCGAATTTTTAGAATTTGGGAGCGAGCGAGCTTCTCTTATTTTCTCCAAACGCACATTTCGAGATATCAAATAAAATAGGATGAAGTTATATTTTTAAACATTTCTTTATTATCTTGCCAACATACATACATATTTTATACATTTAAATAAACTCTTTGTTCTCGCATAATCATTTATATAATTTAACTCGCTTTAAATGAAACTTAACAAAAAATATGTATATCGAAAACAATATAAAGAAATCTACTAAATGAACAAGAGAATTGTATAAAAAATATGTTGCTCACTACAGTAATTCTAAACTTAACACATACTATGTATGCATATAAAAAAGTAAGGAAACCATTATAACNAAGAAATCTACTAAATGAACAAGAGAATTGTATAAAAAATATGTTGCTCACTACAGTAATTCTAAACTTAACACATACTATGTATGCATATAAAAAAGTAAGGAAACCATTACAAAAAGGAAACTTACAAAAATATATATTGTTTTTTCCTTTTTTAATAATGGTTTGTAGCTATTTTTATTTTTGTCTGCGCTTTCAACGCAACTGCCTTTGTCTGCACACTTTGTCAAGCACAAAAAACGGCTACAGATTTACGGTTTAACATATCTGCACAGTGGCTCGATATGGTTCGAAATTTTTGTGCGTGAAAAAATTGAAACTTTCTTATTAAAAAAAGGACACAACGATTGTCGCGATGTGTGCTCTTAGCTGACAAAGGAATTTGTACATTCGTTCCTCAATATCAGCAATAACAATATTAAAATCATCTCAATATGCATATATATATGTAAATTCACTAGGAAGGTACAAAAGTTCAAACTCGTAAATGGAGATGTAAGAGTCAAATGTTTTTTTTTTCTAAGTTTGTTTTGTTCTAGTATGTTTGTAATTATTTTTATATTTAAATTGACAGTATAATTTTTTGCATTTGCAAACAGCCAAGTTTTAATTCGCTGAGACTTTGGTTTGGCCGCGCATTTAGTAAATTAAAATGTATACACAATAAATATTCATAAGTATATAAGTTTACATAAGTACCTTCGTTTGTCATTTTTTCATATCTATGTATGTACATATAAGAATGCATGTGTGTATATAACAATTTCCTTCTTTAATTTACTACAAATATCATCACTAATTGGTACGTTTTGGGCTTTTCACACTCATATTTTTGTATTGTACATATATGTATTTAAGCTTATTTATTATTGTATGTGTTTGTGTTCGCATCGCAAAATCACAAAGCAATAAATTTACTGTTGGTCTAAACAGTAGTTTTGAGAGCAGGCATATGGGTATGCAGTTCAACTTAGCTGGGCCGAAGGCGATGATTTTTACTCGATATGCATGATCAAGTCGTCACCTTCCAATTTCATGCCGTTGATGATCTCCAGCTTCTTCACCACTCCTGCTTTAGGTGCTTGTACAATCATCTCCATTTTCATGGCAGATAGTACCACCAAAGGTTGCCCCTTTTCGACTGTGTCACCCTCCTTTACACGAATATCGATCACTGTGCCAGGCATGGGTGCGCCTACTTCATTTTTGTTCGATTTATTGGCCTTGGGATGGATGTGAAGTTCCTGTTCCAAACGAAGCAAATTTTATTAGTTAAGAAAGGTTAAAAAATAAAATGCAGACTGAATTAAAGTTGTAAGTGAAATAATTCATTATCTTCGTGCATCAGTAAGAGTGGTAGATATCCATATAAACTACGGTGAAAAATAGTAAACTTGCTCAGATTTTCCTGAGATTTACTGTACTCTGTACCTTTGCTCAGGGATTGGCTTACTGCTACGCTTGGTAAGCTAGTGGGCGAAAATGGTAAAAGGACTTTCAATTTCGATAAAACGCAGTTTATCTTTCTTTATTACTGATCCGATTTTTCTAAAAAAAATCTTTAATCGTGAAACCGAATTCTAACTCATAAGTAAACATATCTGGAATCTAAACCTAATCGGGAAAATTAGAAGCGCCTCTAAAAAACGCTTTCAATAAAAACTTCTCTTTGAAAGCTTTGAAAGAATCTTTTTGAATAGCCCTGCCATTGGAAAGCCGCCGAGAAAGTTTTCCCGGAGTAATGCAAGTAAAAAAACAAAAACATTCGTAGTCGATCTGTGCCTGTGTGCCTGGAGACAAGTTAAATTAGTGCGTCTTCTATTACTGTGTGTAAATTTTTTTCCGAGAGAAGCTTAATCAGTAGGCCCTAAAGCTGTGGCCCTTCCATATAACAAAAAAATAACAACAAGGAGAAGGGGTTATGCCTTCAAAAGTTCATAAAGAAGCTCTTAGGAGCCCTCCGTTTTCTAATTTTGCCCACTGGGAACAACTATTTAGTCAAATACTTCACTTAAAAACTTTAACTTTTTGTTATTCACAAACCATTCATCTAATGCGGCCAGGTTAATAAGCACCACATTTTTTTACGGGACTATACTTATGTACATTAGACCGTACCAGAAAAATATTGTATTTTTGCAAGGTCATTTCGAAACAAAAAAAAAAATGCCGAACGTAGGGGTCACCTTTTTAAATTTTTCGTCATATCTTAAAATATTATATCGATATTTCTGTCTCAAGAAGAAATTTTTTTGTTCCAAAATTGAGTAACCTCAAGTACCCCGTTCTAGTACTTACCCAACAGATCTCAGTACCTAACGTTCCACTCTATTGTCAGTAAAATAAAGCTCGTCAAAAATTATTAAACTTTTACGAAGGAGGTATCTCGAAATATTTACTACCGAATGTAGATGTCACCGTAAAATTTAAAAAAGCGACCACTAGATTCGCCCCAACATTTTTTTTTCGACATTGCTTTGCAAAAATTTCAAACTCAGGGGTATGCGAACTTTTTTGTTTGCTTGCACGGTGGTACGGTCTAATGTTCTTACATACATATGGGTATCGATGGCTGAGTGGAAGATCGATCTATCTCAGCAGCCAGTTTGAAATCGTCCTATCACATTCAGTACATTTTCAATGTATTTCCGTTTCAGATAGAGCGTTTTCGAACTGGCTGCCGAGATAAGTCGATTTTCCACTCAGCCATCGATATGTACTTACGTAGGTAGCTTCATGCGCTTTTTACTTACCTTCACGGCTTCCTTGTCGCGGATCAACACAGATCGCAGTTGACCGTTCATTTCGAAGAATACCTCACGTTCACCATTCGCCGTCAGATCCTCAGCCATTGCCAAAGTCTTCAAGCTCAATGTCTTACCACGTTCAATTGTAACTTCAAATTCTTCACCCACTTTCGGTCCAGTAAGGAAAATGCGTGTATCTAGCTTATCGACTGGTCCATAATTCTCACGGAAGTACATGAAATCTTCGGTCACTGCAGGATAAAGCGCCGCTGACATAACATCGCGATCACTAATGTGTGGATGAGATTCTTTTAGATCATTTTTCAGCTTATCAAAGTCCAACGATGGCAAATTAGCGCCCGGACGTCCCTCAACGCGTGGCATATCTTTGAGTACACGTGAACGAAGAGGTTCAGGGAAACCACCATGTGGTATACCGATAGAGCCTTGTAAGAATTCAACCACCGACTTGGGGAATGATAATTCCTCGGCGCGTTCAAGCACTTGATCAGCATTTAATTTATTTTGCACCATAAACTGCGCCAAATCACCAACAACCTTTGACGATGGGGTCACCTTTATTATGTCACCCAATAGCAAGTTTGCTTCGCGGTATGCCTTTTTTACATCTTCGAAGAAATCACCCAAGCCCAGCGAGAATGCTTGGAATTGCAAATTGGTATATTGACCACCGGGTATTTCGTTAAGGTATACATCAGCGTTGCCCGACTTCATGGTGGTGGTGCATTCGAATGGCGCATATAGTGTGCGCGTTTGCTCCCAGTAGGCTGAATATTCGGAGACATCACGCAAGTCGAATTGCGTATCGAGCGGTGTACCTTGCAGCGATGCAACCACAGCGCCCATACTAGGCTGTGATGTCATGCCGGACATTGAATCGACAGCTGTGTCAACAACATCGGCACCAGCTTCGGCACAGGCAAGCATGGAAGCAACACCAGCGCCCGAAGTGTCGTGTGTATGAATGTGAATGGGTATATCGGGATGTTTGTCGCGTATGGCAGTGATAAGTAGCCTGGAAGCGGGGAGGAAAATAAGAGTAATAAAAGGGAGTGTAAATCTTAAAGGTGCTCAATTGGATTTTTAACATATAACTTTACCATTGATTTAAAAAATCGAAAAAAGCCGAATAAGGATATAATATACAACTTACTTGGCCGCTTGTGGCTTCAATAAGCCAGCCATATCTTTGATGCAAAGTACATGGGTGCCCGCCTTCACTAGCTCATCGGCCAAATTGGTGTAGTAATTGAGATCGTACTTAGTGCGTGTCGGATCACTTACATCGCCAGTGTAAGAAATAGCTGCCTCAACGACGCCACCTGCTTTGCCAGCAGCTTCCATACCCAAAATCAAATTGGGCAAATAATTCAGGGAATCAAAAACGCGGAAAATATCCATGCCGGTTTTGACCTGAAATAAAGTATAGAAAAGTTTTCGTAAAAAATTATTCGCGGTTTAAACTTAGATAAAATTTCAGTCAGCTTTAAATATAAGCGCAGTTTACTTGGTGTAATTTTTAACCTGCACTGAAAAACTGGCCCTAAGTGAAATTAAGTTAATATATTGCAAGTTAATATAGTGTATAGTTAAGTTTAATATAGTGCAAGCTTTCACAAATTTTTTCGATTTGTTTTATTTTTTTTTTTAAGAAAAAATANTTTTTAACCTGCACTGAAAAACTGGCCCTAAGTGAAATTAAGTTAATATAGTGCAAGTTAATATAGTGTATAGTTAAGTTTAATATAGTGCAAGCTTTCACAAATTTTTTCGATTTGTTTTATTTTTTTTTTTAAGAAAAAATGTAAACATTTTCTGCGTGTGTTGCCGTATATTTTTTTAGAATTAAAAAAAATATTTAACTTACCGCTAGATCACAGAACTTATACACCACATTGTCTGGATAACTTGTGTAGCCAACAGCATTGGCGCCACGCAACAACATCTGGAATGGAATATTTGGTATATGTTTACGCATTTCCTCCAAACGCTCCCAGGGACATTCGTGTAGGAAACGTAAGGCCACATCGAAAGTGGCACCACCCCAATTCTCCAACGAATAGAGGTTATTGAATTTGTGTGCAACATATGGTGAGATCTTGAGCAGATCATGAGAACGGACACGTGTAGCCAGCAATGATTGATGAGCATCACGGAATGATGTATCCATCAGCATGAGGTTCTTACGGCTGCGTACTTCCTTTGCAAATGCTTCGGGACCCTCTGAT